GGAAACATTCACCAGTCAGTCTATTTGAATATTAGATATTCCTTTCTGATTTCCAGCTGTGACAGTTGCAAATGTTTTAATTTCAGAGTATTTCGGTGTCCTGGAGAACTGTTGTTTGTATAAAAAGAAGTAAAGAAATTGTAGATTTAAAAAAAAAATAATTAAAAGGAGTTTTTTATATATCTATATATGTATGTATGTATATGTATATAATTTATATATATATATATATATATATACACATATAAGTCTTCTAATATATAAACCTATTTTTATAAGAGTTTTATAAGAGTCTCAGTACACTCCTTTTAGAATTGGTAACAGTCATCTTGCACTGCCCCCAGTTACATACAAGGTTGATCTTGAATGACCAAATCTATAAAGCAGCCAAATTATATGGGAATTGGTCAAGAGGATTTTATTTGTTTCTTTCTTAGTTTTTGTCTGCCTGAAATTATTAACCATTTTGATTGAGAATATGAGACCCCTTGTTCTTTTGTGTTAATATAAATCAAGAATTACAGATCAATTAAAACAGAAAAGCTTCTCACACTTAAAACCTCTAAAAGTGAGGAAGGTGAAATATAAAGCTTTGTACTAAATAGTGTTTGACAATGTAAAACAAAATAATATTAAGCCAAATGGAAGAGATTATTTCTACCCTGTAGAAAAAATGTATGCACCAGATTTATGGTAATATAAAATGGAAGCAGAATCCTCTTCCATCATCCAAATGGTAAGAGTGAGCCTGTGTTAGAAACAAATACATGTGGAATATTTTGCAGAGAACAGAAAAGCCTCAAGATGCATTGCAAAAAAAGTATGACATGATTACAGAATGGCAGTAATCTGTATAGTATTTTTTTCAGCCAGCTATTATTGCTTGCTTTCAAATCCTGGCAATATCAATATTTTCCAGTGTGATTGGTGACTAATCTGAACTTATCCTACTTGCTTTTAGGAACAAAGACAAGAGAATGGCTACCTCTATTCATCTATTATTGTTTAAATAGCTGTCACAGCTTCCAGGATGTTTGTTTCCATGTTATCTGGTGAAAGAATAAAATAGAATGGCAACAAACCAAATACAGTGAAATATGTTTGTTATATTTGGCCCAAACCAGCTGCTGTTTACAGATAAAATCTGGTTTGAACAAAACCAGGTGAATTTTGGAAATTGAGGAACAATGGATGGAGTAGTTGTAGCATTTACAAATATTTTAAAGATACGTGTCACATTCAGACTTGCCTATTATGGTGATTTAGTTCATATGTCAAGACACATATTCATCTCTGCCCAGATACTGTAGAGGCTTGGGTAACAGCTTGTCCTATCCTTGTTTATTTGTTAATTTATAACATCTCAGTTCCCAGCAAACCAAGGCAGGCCTGGACACTTCTTTGTTCTGCCTTGTTCTTTCTTTTTTTCCCCCCTCTTTCTTTTCATTGTTGTGCTCCCCACTCTGACAATAGAGTTGTAGATTGACCCTATTTCCCCTTTTTCCCTGACTTCTCTTCTAACACTTCCTTTGATGTGTTTAGACTGAAAATACCAAATCTCTGTTTCCCAGCAAGGGCTCATAATTTTGCAGCATTGCTCTGCTAGTAGTGTAAGAGGAACATTAGTAGTTCCTTTGCAGCAGTTTAAAAGATGTTAGGCTAATGATTATTTGGAAACAAAAGATATCTCATCCCTTAGAGAAAAGAGGACTTGTGCAGAATTAAGTATTTTTAGATGTTTTAAAGGCAAGAGGTCATACTATTTTGCTGCTGAGATATGTGGTTATGTTTTAATTGGCTGTGTTTACAATGTGGTTTTTCTTAAAAATGCATTTTTTTAAGATTCCCTCCATCATCGCTTATCTCACATCCACAAATGTCCACTCTTCCTGTGTATAATATGTACATTTGCTCTGTTTCAAACATACTCACACTCAAAGTTTATTTCACATGGGACATCAAGAAAACAAATCACATTAGTCTGACTTTTTTTTCTGAGTTGATATTTCATTAAAATAAGTTCAGAGTAAGTTCATCTCTCTAGTCCTACTCTTCAGTGTAAATTTGTTTCTGTTACTTATTATAACATAATGGTTTGGATGTTACTTTGAATTCATATCATTCTAATCTTTTTGAGTTTCTTTGCCTATTGCAAAACCATGCCATTGTCAAAAATTCTTCACAAACTTCATGTGTTGAGCACGCACAAAGTACAGAAAGAATAACATTAAATAAATTGTAAAGTAGTAATACAGTAAAAAAAATTGATCCCTTGCTTAAATTCTGTTACAAGGTCTGTGTTATACTAGTGATTCAGCTTTTTCATGGTGTGTCATGCAAGAACAATACCTTCACTGCAACCACTGATACAAAGAAATCTCTACCCAAAACACCTTAAGGGTGTAACATGGAAATGGATTTTTAAATTTTTTATTTTTTTTAAAAAAAATTTGGGTAAAAATCATTTGGGGAAGCCATATTTTCAGTAGAGGAGAACAGTTTTCAGCTATGCAATAATATTATGTAGTATTTATAAATATACTGCCTAACTAGTTTTGGCTTGTTTCATTCAATTAATGAAAACATAACAATTCTGGCAGCAGTTTAGAGAAAAAAAAAATTGCTAATGATTTTTCACACTAGAATAAGAGTGGACAAGTTGAACTAAGCTAGTTTTCAATACCAGGAATATGTAATTTATTTTTTATAATGAAGTGGTAAATATTTCTGTAATATTTTAAAAGTTGGAAAGAAGATACTCATATTTAGGGCCAAATTTTAGTACGTCCCTACAAAATGACTACAGAGCAATCCATGCTGCTGTGGGGTAGCATGAGGAGAGAGGATGCATCCACATAGTGCATCTTTCAGAGCCTGCTTTGAATCTCAGTAAGGTAGATAGGAAATGGGTCTGAGATCTAGAGCCAGTTTTTTCTCAGCACTTTGTAAAATGATGGAAAAACCTAAATATAGGGGAAAAACCCTTTATGACTCTGAATGGTCTGAAGCTGTCCTTGGTCAACATTAATTCCTTTCAGTAACCTTAACTTGGAAAGGTCTTGTATGATGACTTTATGAGAAAGCAGTAATTGTGGCGTGAATTTTGGCAAACAGGGCATAAGGAGCAGGGTCTTACTCCTCGTGTAGTCTGTCCTCAGGTTAAGCCACAGGGAAGTAGGAAGAACAGCATCCAGTACAGGATCTGCACAAAAGCAAATCTTTCCATCTGAGGTTGTCATCTTAGGTTCTTCTAACAATCAACAGGCACTTCTAGAAGATTTACCTCTTCCTGCAGTAGATGCCTGTGGGAGTTCGGGTGGATGAGTACCTTAAAGTGGCATCTACTTCTTTCCACTGGCTATAAAAGACCTGAGTGGTACCAGCCCAGCATGGCCAAATGCCTGCTTGGGTTGTTCTGTGGGAGGGCATAGTAGGAAAAGCTATTCCTTTAGCACTGTAAATACTGACCAGCATGACAGAGCTGGTGAGATGAGACAAGAAACCTTCACCTGAGTGTGGCTGATAGAGGTTGCTTCCTCCTGTAGGAACGGTGGGGACTGTTGGAATGAACTGGGACTTTGAGTTATGGATGTCCCATCCTGAGGTCATGAGCACTCTAACCTTCTGTTACTGCAGAGGTCAATTTTCGTGGTCCTAGACTATGTCCACTTAGGAAAATGCATTCAGTCCAAGATAGAACTCTTTTTAGGCAACTAGGATCAACTTTCAGATACTATTTTAATGTACCTGGTAAAATAAATAGAGAGGTACAACCATAATTAAATAAATAAACAAAAATAAATTTCACTACCCCAAAATATATATAACTTACAAAAGCCAAACAAAGCCAAAATGGAAAAAAGTGAGTCTGACAAACTCCTTAGTAGTCGTATAGTTGTGCAGAATCTACGTGATACCTGGGGTACATTCTGATGTCCTTGCATTGTGCTGAGATACATCAATATGTGTCAGTTAATGACTGAGCCCTTGGTAAGAAGAGTATGTACAGATATATGTATCTATCTATATGTATATATGTATAGATAGTTTTCCTTTTGAAGAATTCAGATTAACATCTGGTGCAAAGAAATTGACCTAAATTTCACTATCATATCAACAGTAGCCTAAAAATATTCCAGAAAATAAAAAAAACCAAAAAAAAACCAAAAAACAAAAAAATTACAAATGAGGTTATTGTAGTTTCTATTAATTGTAGGGGGTTTATTTTTTTTTTCCACTTCTTAATCTGTTCACAGATTATCTGTGAAACTTTAATCTTAGAAGTCTTCAATCTGTGCAAGTTTTTTCCCGTTGTGATGTCAGAAGTGATCAGATCTGATTGTTACAAAGATCCCACTGAGGAGTACAGCACTTATTGTTAGAATTCTGTGCTTATAAGAATTAGGCCAGTGATTGTTACTATGCAGTTAATTTCATGTACTGTTTAGAGCATGTTTTAATTGTGGCAATGAGGTATATTTTCTTGAGGAAAAGTGTATTGAGGAGCTTTTCTTGGTGTTGCAAAATCTGAGCTGTAAGTGAAACCATTAAGAGTGGGAAGGGTTAATTGTATGGGAAACTTCGTATTCAAATACTTCTCATATACAAAATATATGTCATGCTAGAAAATATTCTATTGTCAATCCAAAAAGAACACAAACTAAAATGAGATAATTGGGAAGGTGCCCATAAAGTCAGCCTGAATATATTATCACAAGTATATGTGAGATAATATTTGTTTTAAAAAGATTCTATGGCACTGTAAACTCAGTCTCATTAGAGACTGCATTTAAAAGGCTTATAAAGTTACTCATTAATGTTATCTTGTTGTATCTCCACAGCTTTTTCATTAAAGAAAATTCAGCAGAAAGCATTTTCTCCTGATAGCAGGAACCAATTTGCAATAAATGTTCTGGAAACCACTAGGGAAGCCATTACTGAGGTCTAATAAAAACAGACAAGCGTAACTTGTTCTATATTTTTGTTTCAATCACATACAGATGAGACCCCGCTCTCCACACCAACCGCAAGAGACAGCCTTGACAAACTTTCTCTAACTGGGCATGGGCAACCACTACCTCCAGGTTTTCCATCTCCTTTTCTATTCCCTGATGGATTGTCCTCCATAGAGACCCTTCTGACTAACATCCAGGTAGGCCTTTTTGTAGATCAGCTTAAAGGGATGGAGAGGACCCAGTTTTGTCTAAATTAATAAAACCATTCTAGCTTAATCAGTTCATAAGATTATTTGGATCAACTAATTTACTGAAACTTTCTTGTAATTTAGGTTTTAAAGGAACCACAGCAAACAAATGAATTTAGAAGCTGTCAGATACAGTACATAAAAATACAGATTGTATATTAAAACACAGCAGAAAATTCAATATAAATTATATTGGTGTGTTTAACAACATTTGTCTTCAATGCTCTTTTTATTACAGGCTAATGAAATGTATCTTACTGTTTAACTTTATCTCATTTACTAAACAGAGAAAGAGTTCTTTAATAAATAGTTATTTCAAATTGCTAGAGTGGCATGCTGGAAATGATATTTAAAGCTATTTGAAATGTGTCTCCCATAAAAGCGTTTACAAGAAGCACTTATTTTATAAATAAGCTCATTTCACTTAAGGTACTGTCTTCAAAGAATAGACTTCAAAGGGTATAACCAAATTTTATACCGATTTCCTATTTGGTAGTCACAATGTCTGTGTACAAGTAAAGCTGTGTTCAAATATTATTTATAGCATACACTATGTATAGCTTGAAGCCAAATTGTTAGTGTTTCATATTAGAATTAAGAAAAATTTTTTGTCCACAAATTCAGTTATCTTGTGTTCCCCATATGCACATTTTGCAATGACATGGTTGTATACTGCATGCAGAAGCGAAATGACAGTGCCAGAAATAATGCAACCATATTGCATATTCCCAAAAAGCCTTGTTGGGGCAGCTACCAACTTCTAATTTGTCACCATATATTTCCTGCTCATTCCTGCAAACATATAAAATCAATTGTATTCTATCCAGCGGAGGATATGACGAAGCAGGGCCAAATCCTTCTCGCTTTACTCTCTGAAGCAATCTCATTAAAGTTTATGGCACTTCAGAATTGTTTTATGAAAAGTATATGAGCCATTCATTAGTTGTGTTTTGAGGTCTAACAATGGAAAAATACTGCTATTTAAGAAGTAAATATTGCTATCTCTGCCTGGTCTGAAAAAGTATATTTATGATTACTTTTTGCAATTCTGAGACTTAGCATCTTAAATATTTCAACCATGAACCAAGATAACTTGATAGCATTCTTGTAACGTATCTGCTGCAATCTGTAAAGACTGTATTTTTTTTCTTAAGGCAGAAGTACAGTTAGTAAATATTTAGCTGTGCATACATGTACAGAAAAGTTCTCAGTAAATTTTTTGACAAATGTCTGCACTCAATGTCTCTAGACAGCAACCTAATGAGCAAAGCATTCAGCATCAACAGGTTAGCTAATCTCGTGATTGAATATGAGAGTGCTGCACTACTTCAGGATAAATGACCAGGATTAATTTGCCAAGAATGCTTTCAGTTTTGTTTTACAGAAAATGTGAATGGGAAATTCAGTCATTCCTTTTTTTTTTTTTAATACTCTAATCTTACCTGGAATGAAAAGACAAAACAAAAGGCAACATCATAAACAAACCGGAACTTTTTAAATCCTTCTCTTGTAGTGCTTTTGAACATCCTGCTCCTTACCTTGAGATTCTATATCATTACAAATCATCTATTAATATAAAGTTGTGAGAAAGAAGTTCTTCTGGATTTTTTCAGTATGTCCCCACATCACAATACATGGTTTTGACAGATTTATAGGAATCCTTTTGTAACAGTATATGAAAGGCATTTCCCTCCCTCTCCCCTGCACTAGGTTTAATTTTTATCAGGACAACATTAGAAATCTTCTCATAAAATAAAAAAGAAATAAAATAGTTGATTTTCCTGTCTGTGTAGGAAAAGTTGACTTTAACAGTAGTAGACTATATTACAATATCATGTTTGTAATATACTATATAATATCAATAGTAACAATTTCATTAATCAATGCCATTTAAAATGTTTTCCATGTTACTATGTCATTGTTATTGCAATGAGAGGTGATTACCCCATACTCACAAATGAGTTAGATACTGTGATGCTGACACTTCCAGAACAGAGTTTTAGGTATTTGATTACAAGTTCAAATTTGTTGAGGCATCTGTGAAAAGAGGCAATTCTGTACCATGGTCCCTGATTGCATTGTAATTTGTGACTTTGCTAGGAAATGCATAAGAGGTACCTGAAACCCATGATGCATTTATTACTTGAATTAGAAGGACTCTTTTCACTGAGTAAATGGCTCCATGCTGTCCTTTGGACCTGATGTGTTTTGCATCCCTTTCAGCAGAGATGTGATTTCCATGGGGAGGTGGAGCAGTGTGATCCCTCACTGTTCTCTTGTTGCAGCAGTGGAGCAGGTCTAACTTCCTCAAACAGATTGCCAATGTCTTCATGAGTGGATTTGGTAAACACTGCTCTTTTTTCCCCAGGGTCATTCATTCTGAAAATAGGCATGTGTCCTTTCACTGAAGGGGTATATGTCTGCTTGTGAAATGAAAGTCTACATTTTTTGTTAGGTCATGGGTCTGGGGGGCACCCACAGCATACCACACATTATGCTGGAGCTAGCCTACATTTTAGGGATGTGATCACCGCAGGAATATACAGGCAAGGAGCTTCTGGCTACACCAGTGTGCATGGACTTGATGGTGGATGTCTCTGCCATGATCCCTTTCTGAAAATCCAGTTGTGTGAGGTGCAGGATCTGGGGGATCTGAATAATACAGACTTTGGGGCCTCCAAAAATCTTGTAGAGACTGCCCTGGTTTAAAATAGAACAGGATTAGGGTGTTGTTTGGGCATTAGGAGCTCTAATTTTGTCCTTTGATACGGTTAAAAAGGATCCTAAATCTTGTCAATGGAAAAGTACTTTTTGGGTATGCAAACAAGATTTCTAACTTTTTTAGAAGTTTAAATTTCTAAATTCTGTTATTTGAAAACAAATGTGCTTTAAGTCCTGCAGATGCTATGAGCTCAAGTGAACTTGTTGCTTAACTGTAATTCTGTTTTAGAAGTCTGAGTCATTTTTTAGGCTTGACCTCTGAGCACAAGTGAGTCTCTTTCTTCCATCCATACTAAAGTTAAATTGATAGCCCCTGATGACAAATTCATAATTTTAGGCAAACATTAAACAATCTATTTACTTCTGCTGTCACCAGTATGTCCTTCTGTATACCATATATATGGGTTTTTTTACTTCTCCATAAATACTCCTTTAAGCAAAATAAAATGTTTAATTATTTGTACTTTTACAGACGAGATAATGACAATATAAAATAAATTGAATAGCCAGCATTGTTCTTACTGGGGACTGCTGAAATACAAATAATGACCTCTAAAAACATATAATTAAGCAAATAAACACGTTAAAAAAAAGTAATAAGATTGGGAATATATATTCTTATTTGGATTTATATCTGCACATCTAAAAGAAAGAGAAAATTAAACTTAAATCAAGTAATATGTCTGTTTTTTCACAAAGTGTATTTGTAGATTTCTTCTGGATAAGTGCAGTTGCAGGGAGGATGAAGGGTGGGGGAAAGTGAGTCACAGCAAAATGCTGTTTATGTGCTAGTGAGAAGGCTAAAGATGTCTCCATACCCCTCACATAAGTTTGCCTTTTTGAGTCATGGCCTGATTATGCCAAAGTATGTTACAGCCACAGCCTTTCATGATGCTACAATATTCTTGGGTAATAGTAACATTTTTCAAGCTTTTAGATTCTGAATCTCTAGTGTCCGTCAGCTGAATTTCCATTAATATCTAAGAGATTATATAGTTGCACCATGATGGCTGTATTTTTCTATCAAGACTGTATTGTGTTGCAATACTTTTATTGCTAAATATTTTTAAAGAGATACCTAAAATAATTTGCAAGTTTCCCATTGATATTAGTAAAAGCAGTGCATGGTTACAAACTAAATTCCCCTCTGAAAACAAAGAAAACTGCTGTGAGTCTCCTGCACTGTTGTTATCTATGACTAAATACTAAGGGAAAAACACTGCAAACAGTGGAGGAAATAAAAATATCCTAGTAAAAAAAATCCCAGTTTTACTTCATGTTATCTTATCTATCTTCTGCTAAAATTCAAGACAATTATTTTATTTTTCACGGAAAGTATTAATGAAAGTATCATTTATAGTTGTGCAATTTGCCTTTATCTGTGATAAACTATGCAATCTGAGATATTAAAAATATTGTCTTTCAGGAGTCATCTCTAGAGATGTTCTAACTCTGTTGTCTTGCTCACGGTACTTAGTCACTAGTCAGTTATAAATAGCAGATATTCAAAAATTAGCATGTGAAGTTAGCTAGAATTGTATGTATATATGTTTTTTTCTAGAGCCTTTCACTAAATACTTTTAATGATGGCAGCATACAAATTATATATTTTTTCCTGATTAAAAAGAGAAGCAATGTTATTCCCAAGTGTTTCCACCATGGATAGCTAATACTGCAGAAAGAAGCCCCTGAGCTGTAACCCCCTGGAAGACAGGAGTTTTGACTAGGAAAGCTTCCAAATGTGCATGCCCTGATCATCTAGTTTCCCTTTTTCACTCGGTGTGGGCAATTGTGGGAAACAAGAATATGATATTCTAGATAGACTATCAAACTAATTAACAAGGTCATTTTGATGTCACATATAAACATATAGTCAACTAAATTCTGTTAGGTGGAACACACACTTAAAGATGCAGCCAGAAAGAGCAGGAGCTTCTATACACCTTCCCCTCCACCCCTTTCAAAGTAGGCAACACATTATTTGCGTAATTTAAAAACTGTGGCGAGTAATACTGGTTTTAAGACTGAGTTGAGGTTTGATATATGTTTAGTTTCTGTAGGATCATGAGGCTGCCTTTATATGATGGCGTTCTCAGATCAGAGAATGGGAAGAAACTCCGATATCAACTTAGCCTTGTGTTTAGGACAGTTCTAAAGGATTTGTCAGTGAAAAACACTAAAACAAGTGCAGTAAACAAATCAGAATGCTCTATAAATGCCCAGGGAATAAAATGTCCATTTTTGACATTACCTTGAAATAAAAATTAAGAGGGACACTGAGAAGAATGGCCTGCCATGCTTAAAGCCAGGTTCCAGATAGAGCCATACTATATTAAAAACAAATCTGAACCTGAGCATGTTCACTGCAATTATCATTATCCAGCCTCCATAACATCTGACCTTCCCTAAAGAGAAATATTTTCTTTTTGTTAATGTCCTGTGTTGCACTGCATTTCCCATTGTCATTGGCAGCATATTGATTTAATACCAGGTTAGAGGATTAGCCATAGCATATACAAGTTGGACATACTGTATTTTGTATAATCTTCTACAGCTGATCCACTGGGAGAATTAATAGAATTTCATGCAACCCTGAAATTGCTATTCCTGTTCCAGGGGGCACTTGTGATTTTTTAGATGTTGAACTTTTTTAGTTTTTCTCAGCCACTTCTGCACTGAATAAAGGGAGATATTGAATGTTTCCAGTATTTTTGCATTAGTGCTGTCATTGGCAACAACAGCACTTTTGATATGCATCAGTTTGGCTCTAGTGGAGATTTTTTTTTTCACATTGGATGCCTACTGATGTGCACTGATTTAACTTCTAAAAATGAAACTTAATTTTGTGTAGCTTATAAGTAGTCCCTAGTGGATCTTGGCTCCAAAAAGCTAATATTTTTCAGACATAATCAGCAGCAATAGGTAATATATTACCATTAGCTATGTTAGCAAGTATAAAAAAAGGAAAGACTGGGGGAGGAAGAGTAGTGCAGAAACTCAATAGAAAATGTAATAATCTTTTAGCAGCTTCGTACTTTGCAGCAAATCTTAATATAAAATTACACACATCAGTGTTACACTCCAGTGTTATTCTCCATGTTTATTCATAATGATTGTTTCATATTTAAAGAACACCAAAATATTGTGTTTTCTCAGCCAAGGACAATAATAGTTTAATAGTAATTTATTTTAAACTGCTACTGATAATACAACCAATCAACACATTAAGTGATGCCAACATTGGCATCTTGCTAAATAATCTCTAGGCTTTGCACCGAGAGTACATCTTTCAAAGATAAGTCAACAAGAGCAATCAGAGCAGAAAATTAGAATTTGGTATCTTAGAATTAAAATACAGCTAAACTAAAGTTTTAATTGGGGTGATCTAACAGGGCACTTGATGTAATGATCTCTTTCATTTGTTACTAATTGTTTGTTCCTGATGAAGAAGAAACATGTACATGAATGTAGTTGAATTGAGTAAAGATGGCAGCTGCTTTAGTGGCTTGATTTCATTGTTAAATAAGATGGATTTTAAGAATTTGGGAAGACAGTGTTTCCAGCTTTAAACTTACTAGACAATGCACTTTTCATCAACAAATATTTTTCATGTAATTTCTCTTGATCTGGTTTATTTAAGATTTGGATGATTCACATGTTCCAGTTAGTGATGAATAGAAGGAGATTAAAACACCCTAAGTTTAAACATAAGCCAGAAGCAGGTACTGATAAACAACTCCTACTTCAGTTTCTTACTAATTCAAATGCACCAAACACAGGGGAATATGGCCATGGAAAAGAAACAGAATTCAAATTAATATTAACTTCTGAAAAACAGATTGTAAACACTTTCCAGATATTTCACACTGTATTTTGCTTTGCATATTTATGTAGAGCTTTATAGGTAGATTTATTTTTCTCTAATAATCATTCAGGTTTAACATTCAAACCAAAATACCTTTGTGATTTAGCTATTTTACAATAGCAAAAGAAAACTGCTAAAACTTTAAACATATTTGTGAGGACATTTGTTGTGTCACCATTGTTGCCATATTTCCAAATGGTTCTATTCTTGTTTAGTGAATACCATTTTGCTGACCATCTGGACCTTGCAGTCAGGTGTTGAGTTCTTTTAGTTTCTGTGGACTTCAATAGATTGAAGTGTAACAGAGCTGCAGAGCATTAAGCTCTGAACAAGATAAGATTTGAGACAACGATTTAAGAAGTTTGAGGAGTACTGAAAATTACAGGCTCTGAAAACAGAACTGAAAGAGGAGTTTGAAGGATGCAAATTTTACAGCAGTCATTGGCACTGGGAAGACTAGTGGGATAAATGTTCAGACTAATACTGACAAAAAAATATTTCTTTCTATTTCTCAAGTATCATTGTACTTGCTTCTTTTTCCATTCTTCTTTGTGAGATATTTTTTAAAAAATTGTGAAAAAACATGCAATGCAGAATCCAATTCAGAAAGTGTGGCTGAGGGGTGAGGAAGCTTATTTGGGAGAGGGGCATTGTGGTTTTATGTCTGTCGTGCTCAAACCAGGTCTTGAGTGTGACCCTTATATCTGTTAGCTGAATGTTTCCCTAGCAGAGCCATTGGGGAGTACTGTTCTGTCTCTCTTGTTGGCATTGTTTTGCTTCATATCAGTAATTAAATCTCTGTTGGGTCAAATTATATCTATGGTTAAGTTATCAGGAGTCTTGCCTAGGATATAGGAGAGTTAGTTTCATATCCATGGAGGTTCATATATGAATATCCATGCTTAATTATCTACTTTATTATGATAGCTTCAGTAGGAAGGATTCGTGTGTAGACCCAAGAGCCTGATGGCCAGGCTTTTGGGAAAGGGAAAAGGATATTTGCATGTTCATTTATTTCAGTTCCATTTCTCCTTATATTTTGATGCCCTGTCTTAGTATCCTAACTATCTACTTAATATTATTGATAATACGCTGTTAGCTGTGCCAGGATAATCCAATTTCCTTGCAAAAGAAGAAGGAAATTTGAAGTTGGAATTCTCAAAAGAATTTTAAAATAATCTGAATTGTTATTTCTTGATACACTAACAACAGAAAGAAAGGTAGAGCTTGTATCAGCCATCACAGGTCAAGAAATCAAGAGGTGATTGTGTTTTGTTTTTCTACTGTGAGATAATAGCCATGCACATCAAGGAACAGGCTTGTTAAAACAGAGATGTCTTCCTGCTTTGTGACTGTCCTTTCCTTACTAACCCAATATAGTGATAGTCTGGAACCTTAATGATATATGTACATATTTGAAATTAGTAGTTAATAAACAAGGATGAGGAGCAAGATGGAAAGACTTTAATTTTTTAAATTTTACCTAATTTCCACTGGCTTGAGTTTGATCAGAGATTGAGTTCTGTGTATGATGTGACCGTGAGATTGCCAGTTTTTCTTAAGAGAAGTAAACCTATTCCTGTATATTTTTAACATGAGTTATATGCACAGTCAGAGGTAAGTTTTCTAAAAAACCTGACTCTCAGCTTTTTACAGATTTCTGTCCACCTGCCAAAAAGTTAATTCCAGTTAAAAATTGATGTTGTTAATAGGTAACTTTGTTCCTGTGACAGAATTATTTTATTTCTAAAATATAATGTCACTATCAAGGAAAAATAACAGTAGTTATTATGTTGACTGTTCTAACATTCTCCAAATATCCAACTTTATCTCTGAACAGGGTCTACTAAAGGTTGCTATAGACAATGCCAGAGCTCAAGAGAAACAGGTCCAACTGGAAAAAACAGAGCTGAAGATGGAGCTCTTCAGGGAACGAGAACTGAGGGAAACACTTGAAAAACAGTTGGCTGTGGAGCAGAAGAACAGAGGTATCTTGATTAAGCAGTCATAAACACCTTGTAATTTATTTCCTTAGGAAAAAATTTTTTATCAAACATCTGTGTTTTATCAAAATTTTACCTCCCTTAAATCATGTTAGTTCTTAGTTGACTGCAATGAAGGATGTTTTATAATCTGCCTAATTTTGTATAGGATCTTCATGAGACTTGGAGCAAGGACCCTCCTTTTTCTCAACATTTTTCTTCTCTCAGTAATACAAAAGCAATTATGAATACCCTATGTGCTGTAACAGACCTTCGCAGGTTGTGATCATTAGGAAAACGGATAGCTACTTAATGCAAAGAATTACTAAATTATTATTTTGGAAATTTACTCTTCAATTAAAGGCAGAAGAATACATAGGAGCCTTTACCTACTATTAGTTTTTTCAGATAGCAAGTGTCACGTCTTAAAAAAAGTTTCATATGTCTTAATGGAAGCTTGAGCAAGAAGGGAGAAATGTACCAGGTTCCCTGCTAAGAGATACCATAAGAAAATACTGAAAGACACTTAAAAGCTACAGCATATTAACACAAGCCACTGTGTCACATACAGGTCAAATCCTTTATGTGAAGGGGATCTTCAGCATTAGGCAAAATCTATCTTTTGCTCATCATGTTAATACAAGTCAAATATAATTCTCTTTAGTGGGTATAGATAAGTATTTTTGCCTTTTTTTATGGAGTGTTTGTTTCACGGCTGTTACTGTATGTTCTACAGAGCTGCTTATTTACTGTACTGTTTCCTTCCTTCTTTTTAAATTTTCCAATTAGTGATTCCTAAGGCTGTAGGATGTGTCTCATCAACTGGTGAAAGTAGGATAATATCTCTTTTGTGAGCAGCTACACAGTAAGGGTTTGCTAATTCTGGCTCTGACTGCTGTAGTCACATCTACAATGTGTCAGCCATGATGACATTTTAATTCAGAAAGCAACATATGTTTCCTTCTCATTTATTGCAATCACTTTCAAAGTACTTATAATGAAAACATTAAAACCGTGCAATGATTCAAAATGTATTTAGTTTAGCCTTTGTATAGATGCTAGATGTTCTTTGATAGTATGAGCTAATTAGCCTGTAAAGTAGTTGGTGTTGTACAAAATGAGAAAGAACCAAAATTCCAAAGTCTTGGATGTAAATTATGTAGTTATTCTGACTACAGGATATGTGCTTATGTTAATTTTGTGCCTGAACAGTTCTGTATAGCAGTGCAAAATATACAAGATCATCTAAAAGGTGGTTCTTCTTAGCATATAAATTAAAGAGCAATAACAATGACAGTTCCCTTTAAAAGTTTCATTATTTGCATTTTGTGAAAGATTCCACCATCGCAGTCTACTGTCCCTGGGGAGTATGAACTGGTGGAAGTATATTTCTGTATTTTCCAGCATTCATTCCTAAGCATATACCAGAGGTTGTTTTGCAGTGAGATACAGGGCTAGATAGATCTTGATATGCAAACCTAACAGTTCCTAGCATCTGGGTATGGTAAGGATAGTCCTTTTGGTGCATATAAAGAATTCTTTAGGGAGGAGTTTACTAGATAATTTTTTAGTTAGTGTCAAAATAACAGAATCTTCTGGAAGAGATTATGCAGGAAGGTCTTAGGACAAAAAGCTTTTTACATGAACATTCATGAAAACCCTAAATGTGCTATTTAAGAACGGTTGGTGTCGGGAGGGGGAGATAATGCTATGCTTTACAACTTTACATGATTGATTCAGAGGCCCACTTTCATTTTAATGGTTGACATTACCCTTTTCCATCAGGAGCACAACTTGTAATATGTTCCTCTAGTTAGGGATCCCGCAAGTCTTAGCATTTTGGTTGTAAGTTGCTGGTAACATAGAAAAGAAACTTGTGATAGAGTGAAGATGAATACTGGACTTGCCATCCTTTTCCTACAGAGTTTAAGCAGAAGAGATTCAAGGAAAACATTTTGTCTAAATAAGGACTTTGTATATTTAATTTCAAAATGCTCATTTCTTTGCTAATATTTCCCCTCACATTTAACAAAGCATAGTAATATTTACTTGACTGGAGGATCCAGCACCATAAAGGATTTGCTGTGAGTTCTTCAGGGTTAGATGGCTGATGGGACAGGCACCAACAGAAAGCAAGAAAGAGAAAAGGGAAAGACAAAAGGGAAATGTGGAAAAGAAGTAAATATGGGGAAGAGACCAGGCACCAAGAGGTCAGATGGTTTGCAGGAAGCAGAGCTTAAAGGGAAGTTAGAAGTCTCAGGGCCTTTCCCCAAGGAATGAGAACCAGAGCAGGGTGGGGGCTGCCCAGGACCCAGGCTGACAGATCCCTCTCTTATATGAGAGAGGCAAAAACTTCATCACCATGTGTCTATTTACTGAGCTATGGGAAATAAAAATGGTGAAATTAATTCTGAAAACCCCTTCCCCTCCAGAGACAGGGGCTTATCTACATCAGATGATTCAAAAAGCACATTCCATTGCTAGTTTCTGAGGTTTTCTGATTCGGAAATTCTGATTCTCAGCTGTTTTTAAAAAAAAAAATTAAAAAAAAAAATTATTGCTTGATGCCACATATAGTTTTACATATAGAACAGTTGCTTTTAGATTATTCCAAGGTGATTCCAACAAATTTCAAGTAATTTTAATGGTTATTGTGTAATTAATCAGTTTATATGAACATAGCGTTTCTCAGGACCCTTGATAGGTCATTGTGCAGGCAAGTTTCAGATCCAAACTGGAGTACACTGATGTTATTTTGTTTTCACAGCAATAATTCAGAAAAGGCTAAAGAAGGAAAAGAAGGCAAAGAGGAAATTGCAGGAAGCACTTGAATTTGAGACTAAACGACGAGAGCAAGCAGAACAAACACTGAAACAGGCAGCTTCAACAGAGAGTCTCAGGGTCCTAAATGGTAAGAAGCCAATTTTTACCTCTGTGTCATTAACTTTCAATTTAAGTGCCAAAAGAATCTTGTTATATTGAAAATTTATAACATGATGGAAAGGGGAAAAAAAAGAAAATCTCTTTTATTTCCTTCATTCAAGTGATACCTCTCTCTTTATTGCTTTGTTACTTTATATAGTAGGTGCAAATAAAGTCACTGGAGAGAATGTTCAAACTAGGACAATTTTATATTATTAGCTTGATAAGTCAATTTTTTTCTTCCTTTTTCTCTCCCCACATTTATGCTTGAGAAATCTATTGCTCATTAATCTTCCCAGTCTAACAAAAAATTGTCCTGGCCTCCAGTCATTGTTCAACATTAAAAACACTGACAAAGGTTGATTGTATTGTAATTCAGCATTGGAGTAACAGGTTGTAAAAAGGGCTATAAGAACCAAATGAAATATGTGTCAGTCTTACCTTTCTATGTTTCTAGACTCTCTGACCCCAGAGATAGAAGCTGACCGCAGCGGGGGCAGAACAGATGCTGAAAGGACAATACAAGGTAGGAATTTGCAAAAGGCTATAAATCTAGATCTTGCTATATGAGTTTTTCCTCAGCTTTAGACTGCTATTCAAGCATGTAGCCTACCATCTGGGCCACATCAAAACAAGTTCAAACAAGGTCAAGTTCATCTTGCTTGTTTATAAGAGAGAATACATTCTGTGCTGATAGATTTTCTTTAAATTAATAGGTCATTTCTGTTTATACAGAGCAATTAAAGAAGAATAATTAACTTGAAACAATATTGGGTTGAATCTCAGACATGCTGAATGCAGTTTTTGTGAATATGTGTAGTTTGATTAGAGTTAATAACGTTTTTAAAGGTGTATTTGAAACATCTTGAGCCTTTTAACTGTACAAATGGCTAAACCTAATGGGTAACATTCAAGGCATGATGAGAATTTCTTAGCTAATAGTCAGTAGCAGTTACTGAAAGGTGTGTTTCAATAAGCTACTCTGAGCATTAACAATAAATAAGCTGTTTATTCTCATCTTGGATTTTTCATTTACCACATCCCATTATTTACATTTTAATAAAACAAATCTGCTGAGTAAATTTATACATAAAACACTAAGGAGAGCCATATTACTTCCCTGATGAATCTAAATGTACATATACATTGCAAACATCAAGATATTAGTAAAGAGCAAATTTTGAAGATAGTATTTATAATATCTATTCTTATCAACAGGCTAAATCTACCTACATGAATACTAAGCAATAAAAATAGCAATTGTTTTCATTGGTAAATGAAGGTGCATTTTTCAGAGACAAACATAAAAGGATTAGCTCCAGTAATCACACTCAATTGCCTTTATTTTGCATTTTGAAGTCAATCATCCTAACAGTATCATTTGACATCTTCTGTGTGTTATTTAATCACATTTTCTAACTTGCAAGGAGTTGTTACTTGTGTGCCACAAGGAGGCTGTAACAACAGAATAAAAAAGTCAAGAAGCTTTTAACGGGTTGAACATACAAACAAATATCAAAAATGCAGTAAGTTCTTATGAAAGACAAACACACAAATATATAAACAAAGACATTTAAAGCAAGTAATGTCTGCAAAGTTAACAACACAGAAGTTGGAATATGCCAGATTAAATGTTGCCTGGGAAGTGAATACATGTTATGAGGTCTTTTACCCCAGAACCCTGCCTTCCTTCCTGTAAAACTTATACGTTATTCAAAGCGCCATTTGATAGAATTCATTTGGTAAGAATTCAGCCATTATTTCATTTTGTTATAATTCAGACATTTTTTTTACCTCTTTTGATGCTATAACAGACTTCTCATTTCTTGGGAGACCATGCTGCTGCACCGGTTGCTGCAGTACTCGCACTCATTGCAAACATTAATTGCTCCATCTTCAGAGCATTCTTGCAAGGAAATGAAATTTGGAGTATTACAATTTGATAGCTGGGAAACAGAGTCAAATACAGATTACAATGACATATTGCTTAACTGTCAAGAATCAAGGATCTAATTTTTCAGGATAATTTGCATTTTTGGCAGAAGCATTCAGGTGTAATCAAATCACTGTTCCTGTTGAATTCAGTTTTGCTCATAGGCTGAAATATCAAGTCGGATATTTATAATATGAGTAATACAAATTTGAAAACATGTATTCTAAAGGATTTCTCCCAAACTATATAGGACCAGCACTTCAGCTTTTGAACAATGATTATGCATTCTATCCCAGCTAGCCTCTGCTCATTTAATGTATTTCCATTTTTGCAATAAGTGAAATCAAGGATTTGCAGAAGACATTCTCAGTAATGACTTTTTCTTGATTCATCTGTCCAAGGTCATGCACATCAGAAACAAAATTAAAATCCACAGATGATTATTTAGTTCAAGACTGGACCATGATATTTTCTGATTGTGATATTAAATCATATTGCAAAGGCAAAATTAAGGCAACCTTAATTCTGACATTTCCTGTATCTACTTTGCACTCTCAATATATAATATATAATTATTATATATTATTATTTATTATATTTATATTTGTTTATATTATATTATAATTAAATATTATATTATATTATTATAATATTTAATTATAATTATAATTAATTTTATGTATATATATATATATAAAATATATATATACTAAAGCAGAGGGTTTTTAAGGAAGAGGAAAGAAGAAGCAAGAAATACAGTTCTCATGTCTTACAGTTTAATGTATTCAGCTCAATCATCGTACAGCAGTTCAGAATTTTAGATCTACTGCAATTTGTAACCCTACAGCTCAAGGAGGGTTCCTAACTGTAGGAACATATTGTTAGTGTAAATCAGTCATTATAGGGTGACAGGCTTCAGAAATAGTTCAAGAAACAGTTAATAGCAGGCAAGTCATGCCAAATGTCAGGATTCTTTGTGTTCATTTGCAATATTGGAAGGAGGATTTCCTTTCACAGTAAACTCCCTTTTCTCTGTGTCCCCCTTGCTATGTGTCCCTTTGTATCTGTCCCAGTTCCTTCTTCGGTCCTCCTCCTCCCTCCAATCCCATCTTTTGTCAATTGCTAATCTGACTATTTTCCTTGCTCTACATTACATTGCTCTTCTTTCTTCCCAACTTCACATTCTTCCAGCATTCACTTCTGAACTTAGTTTCATGCCACTCTGTTTATTTCCTTAATTACAAACTCTCTCTCTCCGTGACCCCCAGCCCCCTGGCTCTGTCTGACCTTTCCTGTTGCCTCCTCTCCTTACCCAGTCGTTGTAAGAGCTGCACTGACGTTCCCTGTTACCAGCCTTCCCTGTTGCAAACCACATCTCCATCCCTAGTGTTTGCTTCCCCCGTCTCCCCGCTCAGGCTCATGTTCCCTACTGGTTTCAGTTCATTGCTGTTTCTTTTTGTGTACCTGTCTGGAAATCAAGGAGGGAAGCACTGAGAGGATTCAGTTCCAATTTCAGTATTTAGCATGACAATTGTAGGCAGGAGCGAGGAGAAAGAATTGCAGAACCACTTCATTCCTGCAGCACAGGAGCATAAAGCACACTCAGTACAGATGGTGCCCTTTACCTGCAAAACTCTACAAAAGCTTTCCAATAGTTGAAACATTTTCTAATACTTTCTTGGATTTTGTTTGGGGCAACAAAGACCATATTGTCACAAGTATACAAATTTCAGTTGTGTCCTTACATTTTATTTGTAAATTATATTTTGCATACTTTGGTATGCACTACAGAAGAAATTATATTCTATTATTCGATATACAGTATATTCCTTAATTAAAAATATAATAATATAATACCACCTCTTGCATCTTTCAGAGTCTGGAAAAAAAATACTTTCTAGGGAATTACTTTCTTACTCCTCTCAAAAATATATGTGACTCTTAGTATCTAAGCATGCCTGGGGTAGTAGTCTTTTTAGCCACAATCATTTTTCAATTTACTGTGTTGAGCATGCTATGTAGTTCTATAACTATGCAAACAAAAGTAGGAAAGCTGTAGTGCTCTGTAGGGAAGTGATATAATTGAAATAAAAAGTGTAATTTCAGCATTTAAGAAAATATTATGCAAGAAAATCATAATTAAGACTAAAGATTTTGTTTACTATTTATTATTAATAAATGGATACTTGTCAACTTGAAGTTATATCTAATGTTGCTATTTTTGAGTATCACTTTGAAGAGTAAGGAATAGAACTAATTTAAGCATAAGCATAATTGCATTTGTCAATAAAGGGGTATGTTCTGTTCTATTTTTTCATCGTGTAGCACTCATTTAGGTTCACTTTTAGTGCCTGTGAAGTCTTTTGTAAAATGGGAGCAATAATAAAAAGGAATTTGAATACAAGACTATAAAAAGAATCAATGCAGGGTATTTTAGGATTGTGTTTGAGTTTTTTAAATACTGAGTAGATAACAGTTTGCTGCAATATCCATAAAATGTTGACAAATAACCATAATAAATAATTCAAATTTGGGTCTCAGATGTACTTATGTATTTTTTTGAGCGATAGAAAGAGATACTAAGGTATTAGGAACTGGTGAAGACACTGGTTTGAAATGTTTTCTTTGCTTCTGTTTTAAATAACAATAAAGCAGATTATCCTCTTCTCCATACATATTGTAGGTTCACTAGATGCCTATGCCTAGCTCCCAATCCGGTTTCCCAAGACCCCCTCATCCCACACAAAAAGGTACCATGCAAAGATAATGTTTGACTTTTATATACTGTTTTGTTAAGAGACCTCTTACTAAGCACTAGAACAATGACATTTACTGCCGCTTTTACTTCCTTATTTCCATTGATTTTTTTCTTTTGCCATCTGGTTACTTACCATGTATTTGCCTGCCTACATTATTACATTTTCTTTTCATCTATATATCCCACATATATCCAATTTTCTGTCTCCCAATAGTTTCCCTCCCAAGTCCTGTACCTTCATTTTCATTCTATTTAAACAGCAGTTGCTTTTCACATTATCTAAAATCCTCTTAAAGTATTCTAGTTCTGCACCATCTTCACCATTGACCATTCTTTCCTTGTCATGTTTCTATCATGTGTTCCTTTCCCAAATTGCTCACAAATGATTTTGTGCTTTTGTCCCAAAGCTATCCTGGTAAGAAGAGAAAGATTAATCAAATTTTCCCTCTTTCATGCTGCTATTTTTTTTTTTCTTTTCCATTTATTTCAAACTTACTAGCAATTGCCTCAGCTTGTACCTTTTTCTGCTTTCTTCAAAAAAATTTCCAACTTCTGCATGCCATCATTCTAGCTGCTCCTGAAATCAGCTCCATCATTTTCTTCTGTGTCTTCTCACCCTGCTCAGTTCCCTGAATTCTCAGGTCTATCTGGTTTTTCACCCCAAATGTTTGTTATTGTTTGCAAGAGGCCCTTTGCATTTTCTGTGTTCTCAAAGTTCTTCCATCCTGCTCACTCTCAATCAGTTTTTTCCTCAGCTATGCATTCTCCTCTAGTAGAAAATTTATCCTCCTTGTCCATTGGTCAATTTTTCACATCCCAGTTCCTTATTCTGCTGCAGATATTATATTTTTTCTTTTAGCACATTATCAGCCTTTCTCCAGATGTGTCTGTTATCTACTCTCCCTGTCCCTTAGCAAAATGAACTTACCCTTTCTAAGCCCTTTCCCATCAAGATCTTCCCTTTGGTTTTTCACCTCTTCTCTAGGCTCATATTAACAATTCAGTGAAGTGTAATGCGAAGTGGCTTCAGATTATACCTTCCTAGGTTAAAAAGAAGACCCACTCAACTACCGTGCACACAAAACCTTCCAGGGCCATCTGTCTTTTTCACCTCCTAGAAAGGACAAGGCAGGAAATAGAGATGTTTGAAGGCTACTGAACAAGAGCAAGAAAGAAATTATGATTCAAATTTTCCCATTGCAAGTGTGCATTTTGCTGCCCCAATATTAGGGGAAAGCTTCCCTGCAGTTGCTCTCCACATTAATAAAAATCGCTTTTATACAGCTTTAGTCATTTGCCCTTAAACCTAACCTGTTTTTGCATTGGTTTGAAACTTGTTTAATCTATTTTTGAACAAGCAAAATCCACATAATAATTTCAGCAACTGATAGTCCTTGATTCTTTCTTGTTATATTTGTTTGAAAAAAGAGTATTTGAAGACTTCCACAATGTAATGGAACTTTTGGTGGTTATGTTAAGCTACTGCACATGGTTCTATTTCTGATATATCAATCTTGGGCAAAAGTGTGTGGAAGTATGTGATGATAGTTTTTATGAGATCAAAAACTTTATTGGAAAAGGCCATTATCAAGGCTGTGAAGTCAAGCATTCCAAAATTAGGAAATGGTAAGAGTTAAGATTGTCTTCCGCACCTTTGTTCAACTGTCTTTGTGTATGTGTCATGATACAATCTTTAATTACATGATTACATACTGCATTTTTCACAGTATCTTGTCTCATTCAGTACAGGGGACAAAAATATAGGTGAATAAAGGGATATCTGTCCAATATCTTCTTCATCTTCAGTGGTCAGTGTGTCTTCTAATGCTTTACATAATACTTGGTTTATATATAATATTTCCATAATTAGACATCATGTGTTACAGGAAAGTTTTAAATGATTATTTAAATTTCTTCCATATATTAAATCTTAATTTTGTAATTTCCTAACAGCTGAGGGCTTTGCATCACTAATGTCCTAGGTGACCATTCCCTTTGTCTTCTTAGCAAGTGAACTACAAAGTCAGAAGTTTCACTGTCAGACAACATCTGAAAACCATATGGACTTGAATCCTAAGATTCACAGTGATAAAGCTAACCAAGCAACTGATAAACTGTAATATCCTAATATGAGCAGTGTGGCCTAAGGAATTACGGTTTTGCTATGGCATTTTTACAGATACTTGCTGAGATTAAAGAAAATCACAGGACACATTTTGTACTCTTGGGCAGAGAGTCTTCCTTTCATTTTTCTTGCAACCTGTATCACCTCTTAACAGTGTTTCCATCAAGCTTTCTTTTTCTTGGTTCTCCCTCTTTCCTGGGTTTTCTATCAATCTTAATAACAACTTTCAAGTTTTCTAATTTCTTTCTTGACCCTTTGTTCCTCACACCTTTCAATGCATTTCTTTTTATATCCAGTCATAATTGCAGACCCTAAAATTTTGACTTCTTCTGCATCCTTGTTAATCAAGATCTGGATGTCTTCAGACACTGACTCATAACATTCTGTCTGTATGCCACTTAGTCACTGATTTTTCCCTCTAAGAAACCTCAGATTTCTCTCTCTAAGAAACCTCATGTGACTTTACTTGACCTTCTTGCCCTATCTGTATTCTGTTTCCCCTCTTTCCTTCTATTCTCAATCAGTTGTCAACAGACAAGGTTCTGTTCTTGTCTATTAATGCAAATAATTCAGTCCCCCAACTTCAGTCTCAGTTATTGTCAGCCAATCATTTTTAGTACTTTATTTCACAGTGTCTTTATTTCACAGTGCCCTGGGTTTTGTGTTCCTATGTATGTATTTAGCCAATCTCAGTCACCCCCCAGTCACATTTTCTGTCCTTATTTCCAATTCCGATCACATCAGACTTCTTGTCCTAATTTCTATAAATCTTGAGTATTTTTATGAGTTCATGTTTGTAGACTTAGAGAAGACTACTGTTGGCTGCTAATCATAGATAGGATACATTTTCCAGTGCAGGGCTTCTCTCAAATTAACTAATGATTTTTTTAAAAATAGTTTTCAATATCAATATCAATGACAGAACATTTGTTTCTTTTCTAGGGACATCAGTGTTCTTTGCAGCACATTTAACTAAGATGTCTTCTCTTTAGTCTTTTCTTCATTTATTTTCTGCATGATATTGACTGTGATGACCAGTGCTAAGTACATTTCTTTTATCTGTAGAGTCCTTTCAATAATTGCATCCTTCTCGTAGAGCTTCTATCTCCTGTCTCTGCATTTCTGTCTGTTCCTTTCCACGTCCCTCTTTATCAAAAGAAATTTCATAGCTGCCTAAAGACGAGGTCATCCATCTGTATAATGCCATGTAAAACAATGGCCATATGTTCTCTAAAGTATTAATTGATTAAACCTAAGGAAAGCACCTGATTCTTTATACATTTTAACAAGATTTTTCTTATGGTTTTTTTTCTTATTAAAAGTTTTGGAGCTGCTAAATGTCTTTTTATGTATACCAACTTGTAAATTCTGCATTTTTATTCAATTGAAACTTGGTCATCAGTTATTCTGGTTTTACCACCACGTAGTAAGTACTGTGGATTTGTTGTTACTCATTTACTATTGCATGGGACTTCTAGCAGAAAGGTGCTTAGGTTTAGTATAGAGTCAGAATTCTCAAATGAGTGTATCAGGTCATTTGCAGAATGAAAATACATTTTCATTTTCCCGTGTGACATTCCATCTTCTCTGTCGACCCATTTCAACACCGTTTCAGCTTCCCCTCTGTTGTTGCTTTCTCATTTTCCTTCCACCTCTGTTTCACCTCCTCCCCTGCCAAGTACTACTTCTGAATATCCCAAATATTTCTTAATATGTCACTTCCTTGACCAGCAAGGCAGCGTGTGTGTGTGTGTGTGTGTGTATGTGTATGATCTGGAGCCATGTGGCTGCTGGTTGACCAGGTGGCTGACTAGGATGCACATGCATTCTGAGGGATCAGTGACAAGCCAGGAGATACACATTTTCTGCTGGACATCTTGTTGCTGCCTCTTGGCAGCTGGGCAAATCAAACAGTACATGATGCTTCTCAGCAGCTGAAGGGCCAAACAAATGGTTTCTCAAACTGCAAGAGACCCAGGGGCCACCTGTTGTGCAGGCCCGCTATAAAGGTTGAACATTTCAGCAGGGAAAAGAAGTCAGGAGCTGGAAACAAAGCTGTCAGAAGCCTGGAAGGCAAAGGGATTTTTTTTTCTAGATATGTTGAATAACTGCCCAAGGAAACATCTGCTACTTAGCTAGGCTGTTTATGGAAACAAACAGCTGACTATTCTAGACCCATAGAAATATAAAAAGGTTCTGTGAAGCAGCAATGACAAAACAGTAGACTGACTTGTTTGGATATGAACATTTCTGCAATTTTTATGCCACTTAGCCTGTTATTTCATTAGGCCAGTTTAAAAAAAACAAAACAAAAAGAACCTGCAAAAAACCAAAAAATAAAAAAAAACACTAAAAAACAACAACCAAAAAAAAAACCACCAAAAGAACCAAACAAAGAACCTAATCATTTCCGTTTAATTTGTCAGTAAAAATTCTTTTATTCAGCTTATGAGTCAAGAAGCACTTGAGGGTTTGCTGATGTGAAATAACATGTCTTCTGAAAATGTGACTTTCAGCAACCTGACAGATAGATTTTGCATTTTTCTTTTTACCTGTCTGACTTTCAGCTTTCTTCCTCAAGTTTTTCCACTTTTAAGGTTTCCAAAGATCAATAAGACATCTGGTTTCAGTCGCTACAGTATTGGTTAACTGCAGGCATAAGACCAGACTGTCTCTGTAATGTGACGGTTCTCCTTTGGGTTATTCTAGAACCTCTCTAGGTAAGAGTAGTGATTTGAGCTAACAAACATGTGGAAGAAACGACAGAATGGAGCAAAGCCATTGTAGTGGCTTACTGGGGAGTGATATCTGCTGGTTTGTTATTGATCCTTCTCTGCATGCCAGAGTGTGTCAAACAAATTGATGCA